GGAACGTGCTCAAACCGACAATCTAATTCCAAGAGGGATAACGAAATTTTGCGTATGAGTGATTAAAAATGGTAACAGCACTGGCAACTCGTGTCTGCGTGAACCCGGGTGTATCTTTCGAAGGCGTGTTTATTAGCGGCAGCAGTCTGTAGCCACATCGGGCAAGCAGTCCAGGTAGCTTTGTTAACACGAAAACGGTAGTCTGAATATTACATGTCAAACCAGAAATCGTTAAATGTTACATGTACTGCAGAAATGTAATTAGACTAACACGAAGCTTGTGCTGTATTTAAACGACGAAAAGCACTGTTCTTGTTCAGTAAGTAGTCGTCATTTTTCATGAAGGGGGCTGTCGTCATTTTTCTCTTAAGAATACCGCGAAGAAGTAATTCAGACTAAAGGCGGTCATTGCATGCATGCTCAAGTTGTTGTCTGGTTTGATTCGCAACCAAGTGCGCAGATATTGAATGTGAGAAATAAGTAAATCAAGACTTCATTTTTTGCATAGAGTTTACTGCTTAGCATATGCAAACGATAGACTTCAAGACAGACGTAGGCACTTTCGTTTAGTCATTAATGCATCATGTGACGCATTTCCTCTGCATTGCTGCTATCGTTTGATTGTTTCTTCTGGATAGTTCGTTCTTCTTGCCATCATTCATGAATACGATCAACACGTGTTTAAATACCTCCATCTGCACTGTGGCTAATTCGATCGAACGCCCTTACCTATGATCATCATCAGCTTTTGTCGATGCACTCCGGTGAATGCCTCTCTGAGAGTTTGCCAGAGACGTATGTTTCCTAATATTTTTGTTCATCTCGATTCAGTGAACTTTTGTAGCTCATCCTAACATCAATATGGACGTTTTTCTACAGGCCGTTCACTCTCTCTTGTAACCCCGCCCAGTATCTCCCTGGTTCTGCGGTAGTCGGTTGTTCTGGCAACGTTCTGTGCCCACTGGCATTCTAACTTCTTCACTCGAGCAAGGATATCGCGGAGATTTGTTTTTATTCTGATCCGTTAATTCATCTATCTTTTCCAATCATTTCGAACATACGTTCTTCCATGCTGCGTTGTGTCGTCTGCAGTTTATGAATAGCTTTCAGCTTTTAGGGCCCACCTTTTGTATGTATAAGTTACTAGGGGGAACACACACTGATCGAATACTTCCTGTTTCAAGCACAGGTGCAGTTTATTAGATAGAAACATTTTCAGTCCTTTAAGAGTAGCATGTCACTTTTATTCTTTTGTTGAACTGCAATAGTCAGTTCTTAGTCGCAAAGATGAACAACCCAAAACAGATATAGTTTTGCACTTCAACTCCGTTTACTTCAGCAGGTCGCGCGGTCAATAATTTTTAAAACATGATCTGGGTCCTCTTTGAGTTCATTTTCAGTCCTACTTTGATGCTGCTGTCGTTCAATATTTTTATTCTTCTTTGACGTTTTTCCTGTGACCTTCATATGATCAGAATGTTGTGCGCAAACTATACGGTCTAACTAATGCTCAGCTGTACATCGGCATGAAAACTCGTTGTCAGCCTCCTGTCTCGTTGTGCTAAAGCAAATCATGGAAGCTTTGAAAAAATCAAATGACAACTCCCACCTTTGGCAGATTCCCATGCTCACGCTGAAAGACGTTTCCGTCATTCCGGACACCATCAGAACATTCGTATGGGGCTCTAATGAAAATGGCAGGTGACCACCAGCTCACGTTCCTGTGAGATTATTTTCAGTCAAGCTAAAGACCTTGTTTAAATTATTTCCATGTCTGCGAATCAATCCGTGCCTCAACATATATCAGCATTATTTTTGAACTTGGCAGATAAAGAAAGTAAAACCTGACGTCCTACTGCTTTTTGAATGGAATTGTTCTTTGTACGCTGCAGTCAGTATTTAGTGCTTATATCAAAAGTGTTGAAAAGCTGCAAATTCTGCGGACATCATAACTACAGAAGTTCAGCCTATGCAAACAGGCACAGGTGATGTCCTCAACTACCATCTCTCTAACTGTTTCATGTATGTATATTTTTGTTTTCGTGCAATGTTGGGATCATTATGTCTTATGAAGGTGTCTCCAAAAATGATGAACATCAGTCAGTCAGTAACTCAGTTTCCCTAACTGCTTTGCCTTTCAGATCACAGAGGCAGACGTGT